ATCTTAGCCTGAGCTGTTGGCAATATAGTTACCATCCCACAGGGGGATCGTTTTGCTCAAAAAATTCTAATACCTCTGGTTAAACCCAGCCATCTTGTTCAAGGAAAAAGCAGAGGAAATAAAAACTTTGGTTCATCCGATGCTTATTGGGTCCAAGCTATTACTCACAAAAACCTATGTTGACTTTATGGCTTAATGGAAAGAAATTCGATGGCCTCATCGATACTGGAGCTGATGTTACTATTATTTCTGCTGAGGCCTGCCCCACAGTTGAGACTTTGACTAATTTAAAAGGTATAGGACAGAGCCATAACCCAAAACAGAGTTCAAAATTTCTCACTTGGAAAGATTCCATGAATAATTCTGGTTTGATTAAGCCTTTGTGGTCCCTTATCTACCGGTAAACCTGTGGGGAAGAAATTTGCTTTCACAAAGGAGAATAGTTATGTGTAGTCTGAACGATTTTGTTACTGCACAGATGCTTGCTCAAGGATACAGCCCTGGCAAAGGATTAGGGAAGAAAGAAAATGGAAGGGTGTCACCCTTAGCAAGCACAGGTCAGAGTGATAAGCGAGGTCTGGGAAATTTATAATGGCAGCCATTGACGACCCTGCACCCTCAAACTATGTGGATCGTATAATCTGGCAATCAGATGATCCAGTTTGGGTAGTTCAATGGCCGCTTACAGCAGAAAAGTTGGCAGCAGCCACTCATTTGGTGCAGGAACAACTTGAGGCAGGGCACATTGAGGAGACTTGTTCCCCATGGAATACACCCATATTTGTTATTTAAAAAAGGTCAGGAAAATGGAGATTATTGCAAGACTTGAGAGCAGTCAATGCTACTATGGTCCTCATGGGAACTTTACAGCCAGGTTTGCCTTCTCCAGTTTCCATACCACAAGGATACTTTAAGATAATAGTAGATCTTAAGGACTGTTTTTTCACTATTCCCTTATATCCTGAGGATTGCAAACGCTTTGCCTTTAGCCTTCCTTCTATTAATTTTAGAGAGCCTATGAGGAGATACCAGTGGAAGGTTTTGCCTCAAGGAATGGCCAATAGCCCTACCCTTTGTCAGAAGTTTGTAGGCGCAGCTCTTCAAAATACCAGAAATACTTGGCCATCCATGTATATAATCCATTATATGGATGATATTCTGATAGCAGGCGCATCAGGGGAAGCGGTATTACAATGTTATGCTCAGTTGAAATCTGACTTATTTGATGCAGGTTTACATATAGCACCTGAAAAGGTACAAACACAGGATCCCTACTCTTATTTGGGTTTTCAGATTAATGGGCAAAAAATAACTAATCAAAAGGCTATCCTTAGACTTGATAAACTACAAACCTTAAATGATTTCCAAAAACTATTAGGTGATATTAATTGGCTACGTCCTTATCTAAAGTTGACCACTGGGGACTTAAAGCCCCTCTTTGACATCCTTAAAGGGGATGCAAATCCAACCTCACCCAGAATGCTTACTGAGGAGGCCAGAGTCACCATACATAGAGTTGAGGAAGCAATTAGTAATCAGTTTGTTACCAATATCGATTATTGCAAACCCTTATGGCTTGTGATTTTTAATACTCAACTATCACCTATGGGTCTTCTTTGGCAGGAGCCTGATCATCCTATTATGTGGATACATTTACCTGCCTCCCCCAAAAGGGTATTGCTTCCATATTATGATGCAGTGGCTGACTTAATGATTATTGGTCAGGACCACAGTCGTAAATATTTCGGTATGGACCCTCTTCATATTGTACAACCTTATACCAAGGATCATATTAACTGGTTACTTCAAAATTCAAAAACTTGGCTAATAGCTTGTGCTAATTTTCCGGGAATTTTAGATAACCATTACCCACCTGACAAGCTCATTCAATTTTGCAATCTGCATACCTTCATTTTTCCATGCATTACTAGCCAGCAGCCTTTACCTACTGTCTTGTTGGTTTTTACAGATGGCTCCTCCAATGGGATGGCAGCCTACACTTGGAACAATCAGGTTGTGCAGTTTCATACCAACAAAACTCTACCTCCCGAGTGCTGGGACAAAAGGCATGTGCCACCACGCCTGGCTTAATATTATTCTTATGCATCTCCCAAGATACAAATAGTAACAAATATTTCCAAACCAGGGCTTGGATTCTGGGCTCAGCTCCTTGAGACTTTGACATCCCTTCAGCCATATACACACCCCCTTTTCTCTAAATATGAGCAACAAATAGATGGACTTTGAAACAATGCAGTATTACAAGTCTTTCTCTTTGATCTCAGCAGGTTCTTTACAGGAGTCTGAATAATGAATTTCCCCCCATAAAATCAGTGTCTTTTTATGCTACAAAAGGCTTTACCTGAAGCTAGGGATGTAGTTCAGTGGTAGAGCTCTTGGCTAGCATGCCCAAAGCCCTAGCACACAGGACTATCAGGCTTTACCTGGTCCCCTTGGTGGGCTTCTGGTTCAGGCAGTGGGTATCCAAGGGTCTTCCTTTACTAGTAGAAGCCTCAGGTCTCTGATAAACAGAAAGAAAATGCTAACAGGAATTTATTTGCAATGTTTTATAACTTGGTTTTTATTCTAGAAAAAAAAATCACTTAATTTAAAAACAGTTCCAAGTTTTTGGTATATCAGGTAGCTTAATATTTTGTAACCCAGACTTCAAGTTTGTCTTTCCTTGGCAATTAGCAAAAGCACCAGTACTGTGAGGTAATAGTTTACTTCAATGACAACAGATATCTGAGCAACTGGGGCCATGTGGAAACAGCATTCTGTTCCTAAACATCAATGCTACTTTCTGTCTTTTTTCACTTGTTTTTGGTTTGGATTTTTTCCCCTTTTTAAATACAAGCATATGTTATTCTCATGCAAATAATAAAGTTATTTTTAAAATGTTAGCTGTGAACTAGTACTAAGAAAACAACTTAGGAAATAAACCATTTCTCTGTAAGAGGAGCGTAATGGGACAATTACGTTTTCTTTTTCAAAACTATTTCATGATGTCATTTTTTTCTTTTCTTTTTCTTTTTCTTTGGTCTTTTTGAGATAGGGTCTCCCTGCAGCCCCAGCTAGCCTGGAACTTGCTATGTAGACCCGGCTGTCCTCAATCTCATATCGGATAGAGAGATCTGCCTGCCTCTGCCTCCATCCCCCTAGTGCTGGAATTAAAGGTATGCACTACCATGCCTGGCCTTTGTGTGTGTGTGTGTGTGTGTGTGTGTGTGTGTGTGTGTATGGCCTGAGTGCATGTATGTATGCAAGTGTGTGCATATATGTGTGGGTGCGCATACATGTGTGTGCCAGAGTTTGACGACATCTGCTACCTTCTTCAATTACTTATACACTGAGGTAACATCTCTTGCTTGAACCTAGAGCTAACTGATTCCATAGTCTACTAGTCAGTTTGCTCCAGGGATCCTGTTTCTGCTTCCCACTGCTGGGGTTATAGGCATGTGCCGCCACGCCCACCTGGCATTTACCATTTATGTGGGAGCTGGAGATATGAACTCCGGTCCTCACACTTGTGTGGCAAATGCTTTAGCTGCTAAACCATCTCCTCAGCCTATAGTTTCAATAAAGTTAAAACTTAGAGCCATTTGTCTCTTCCTTGTGAAACAAAGCTGTAAAAGATTAAGGCGTTAACACACAGGTGATTAAAACACCTCCTGTCATGGGGTAAAAGCATCCAAGAAGTATTAATAGTAACAACTGTGATAGTGATTATTAATTTTGAAGCGAGAATACACAGAGATTGTTGAGAGCAATGAAGACTTTCTCATCTTAAGTGAGCTGAGGGCTGTGACTCAGGGCTGGAGTACCAGATGTTCACAGTCACTAACACCTCCACTGAGTCAGTGACTCCAGGTCCTTGTTTTGAGAACTTCAAAAAGCAAAATTCACAGCCAACAAAGGGTGAGTTTACAAAGGAGTTTTTATCATGAAGAGAAAGCTTAAAGATGGATTTCAGAATTCCTTGTAGAAAGATAGCAGAGCTCCAAAAAGCAAGCAAAGCTCTGGAGGGGACCCAAGAGAGAATTCAGGAAAGGCGGGATTAGCTCCCCATGTCCCCAGGGGAGGGGCCCTGAAGGGGGGATTATCGCAGGTTGAGTCGATGGGGAGGGGCACATTGTGTGCACAGCTACCTGGCCAGCTAAGGAGGTGATCACTGCTGTCCACACACTGTTCACCAAACTCTGGGAGTTGCTGACCCTTGGCCATTGGTCTCTGACCTTGCAAGCATTGCTGGTCTCTAACCTTGGCAAGGGTCTGCCTGCTGTTAGTTAACTCCTCACAACTGCTAAAATGTAGGTGAAGTTAGCGCTGACCTTGTATTTAGCTCCTTGTCTCAGAGGTCTGGGGTGGCCTTCCTCCTGGAATAGGTGGAGGACTTTTGTTTGTTTGTTTGTTTGTTTGTTTTTGTCTTTTTGAGACAGGGTCTCCTTGTAGCCCCGGCTGTCCTGGAACTCACTATGTAGACCAGGCTGGCCTCAAACTCACAAAGATCTGCCTGCCTCTGCCTCCCAAGTGCTGGGATTAAAGGCGTGTGCCACCACACCCAGCAAGTGGAGGACTTTTTAGAAGTCATTTTTACCCATAATTAAGAATATGTGAAAGGGTAACAGTGTCTCACATGTTTCTGAGAGGGACTTCATGGGAGCAACTGGGTGTGGACACTGCTTTGTTTACCCAGAGCTCTGTCCTTCCTCTTACTGGTCAGCTAGGTTAGCTCATACCCAGCTGCAAGTCCTTTTATTTCTCATCCCTAATGTTTCCAATCATGCTTGGAACCCTAATATTCTATTTAATCTTACACCTGTTCTCACTGTAACAGTTTCATGTTGCTGATTTTCCTTTTCTTTTTCAATGTGGTGCCAGGGATCAAACTCTGGTTTCTCCTTAATTGTCCATTCATACTTAGATTTTCTGTGTCCAGGTCTACTGCTAACCACCACTCACTCAGCACTGGGCCCCATTCACGACTGACTCACAGAGATCTGCTGGATGGACCATGTTCCTCTTTCCTGGTAAGTTATTATGGTCAGTCCATTTGGAGATGAATCTGAGGCACAGAAAGGTTAAGAACCTTGCCTGAAGTCACATGGTGACTCTGCCCAAACATTGTGGAAAATTCCTCTGCACTAAGACCAATTTCTATAGGAAGTCTTTATTACTCTCATCCACACAAGTTAATCTTCCGCTCTGTATTCTGTAGCCTTAGTATACATGGTATAGTGTACTTAACCAGAACTTTTATTTATTATTCATCAAACATTTGTTGTGTTTTGCTGAAGTGCCAGGACTATGAAGAACAAAGATTTCAGATGAGACTGTCACACCAGCTAGAGGGACAAGAACAAGAATGGGCCTCCCATCACTGCTGTACTGTCTGAAGCACAGGACAGGCAGCCAATCCCTGGTGAGCCACTGAAGATCCCAGAGATGAAGACTCGATGCTGCCACACAGCCAGGCTAGCCAGAGGGACATCTGACTACAAGACCAGAGATGCTGAGCCTGGGTGTGTAGAACATGGGACAACTGAGGGGACTCTTGTATTTTGGGATTACCAGAGCACAATGTATCAGTCTCCAACACACGCTGTCCATGATGTTTGCTGGGCATCTAACTCTAATGGCTGAACTGTCACTCACAGGCTGTCAGCAGATCCAAGGGCTTCAGCCTGGCAGGGTGGGAGGGTATTACCTCCCCACCCACTCATTCAAGTCCCTAGCCATAGGAAGGCTGCAGTCTGCCTACCCCTGCCTTCTCTGTCCTTCCCAGAGATGGTGCTCTTGCCTCTAGCTGTGCCCCTCTCCCGTGTGGGCCTGATAGTCCCAGCTACCTCCTGAGCACTGGCCTTCAGGCAGAGTTCCTTTCCAAGGTTCACAGAGAGGTGCCTGTTCAGGAAGAGGTATTCCAGCTAATCCCAAGGGTGCTGGAAAATCTTTTCTAGAGAAAATTTCCTTTTTTAAGAGCCTTTTTTACTCAGGGAAAAATTTAAACATACACAAAAGTAGACAATAGTGTAATGAGCCTCCGCATGCCTATCACATACCACTTTTTCTCTTGAAGTTAGGAATAGAAATGTTAAATAAAGCACTTAAGGGAGAAGTCTATTGAAAAATAAAATTATAGGATTTCACTGCTCTTGGGCAATCAAATACTCCCTTTTTCTTTTTTCCTGTCCTAAGTAGCTTTAGCTCTTTTATTCTTTTCCCTCCTTATTTTGAGACGAGGTCTTGCAATGTTGCCCAGGATAGGCTGAACTGCTGGACTCAGGCCACCCTTCTCCCTCAGCAGTCCCTGAGAAGCTGGGTAACAGGTGCTAGCCACTGCCCCAGCTACCCTACTTTAAAAAAAAAAAATTATTATTTTTTATTTTATGTGTATGCGTGTATTGCCTGCATGTAGGTAAGTGCACCCATGTCATGCAATGCCCGTGGAGGACAGAAGAGACTGTTGGATCCCCTGGAACTGGATTTACGGAAAGTTGTTAGCTGCTATGTGGGTGCTGGGATTCCAACCCGGGTCTTCTGCAAGGACAGCCAGTGCTCTTAACCGCTGAGCCATTTCTCCAGCCCTGACATTTTTATTTCTAAAATACAGAAATTATGTCCTGTCCACTTCACTGTGCAGCCATCAGAACCATAATAAACCACTAATCACTTATGAAGACTATCTCAGGAAAGAGGTCATAACATGTTGAATGGTGAACAGTGTAAAAGTGTGCGCTCACAGCAATCTCAGCCATCCACACACTGGATCCACACACGGGATCCACACACGGGATCCACATAATGGAAACAAATCTAGAAGGAAATTTAAAAACCTGAAACCAGGCTTTGCACTAATTGGTGTGTTTGTAGTTGATTTATATTCCATCTTTTAAGAACTCCTTTAGTGTGGTTATACTTTAATCTTTGCCACAAACAACATTTACAATGGAACTAAAAAATATTAGTGTTCACTACAATAATCATTTAGTGGGGGTAAAAGACACCCCAGGGAGATAGACTATCTTTGCTGCTTTCTCCCAGTGTGCAGAGCTGGTTGTTTTTACAGAACAATGAGACCCCAGAGCTGGCCTGGGCATGGCGGTGCACACCTGGAATACCAGCACTGAGGCAGGAGGACCCCTTTGAGTTTAAGATCAAGCCAGACTACATATGGAGAGCCTATTTTAACAAACAAAAAAGGGGTCCTGAGCAGGGAAGTGTGTAGTTTCCTTTGCTTCACCCATTTTCCTACACCCCAGCATGCAAGTCAGAATATCCTACCCATCTGCACCTCAGGAGCCAAAGCCCAGTGCTGGCCACGGCTCTCATGGTAAATGTAGTAAGAGATGTGCCCATACAATAAGCTAAGAGTTCTCTGTAATACTAGCTCATGCCTATCACTACACTAAGTATGTTACAAATATTCATTTAATCTTGAAACTGCCCTATGAGGAAAGGGCTTCTAGTAAGCCTGTTCACAGATGAGGAAGAAAGCATAGAGCATGTTAGCAGCTTGCTCCA